CGTGATGTGTTTCTTTTCTGGTCGAGTCTATTTGTTGTTCTGTAGGCCTCTTGTATATTTATGGACATCTCTTTCTTTAAGTTGGGAAAATTTTCTTCTATGATTTTCTTGAAAATATTTTCTGGACCTTGAAGCCTGGAGTCTTCTTTTTCATCAATTCCTATTATTCTTAGATTTTGTCTTTTCATAGCATCCTTGATTTCTTGGATATTTTGTGATTGAAATTTTCTGATTTTACTTTTTCTTTGAGAGAAGTATCAATTTCTGCAAGTGTGTCTTCAGCTCCAGAGACCATCTCTTGTATTCTGTTGGTGATGCTTACTTTTGTGGTTCCTGATCTTTTCTCCAAGTTCTCCAGCTCAAGGGTTTTCTCATTTTGTGTTTTCTTTATTGATTCTAATTCTGTTTTCATGCCTTGCACCATTTCTTTCATGTGTTTGAATTTGGATTCCTGTCTCTCTACGATGGACTCTATTTCTTTGTTCATTTCCCTTTTATGTGCCACTAATTTTTTCTCTACTTGTGCCTCTATTTGTTTGGCTATGTTTGCCTGTGTTTCTTTAAGGGTTTTGTCTATTTCTTCTTTCTTTACCTCCAATTGACTGGCCAACTCTTTGAAAGATTTGTTCATTTCTTCCTTATGAGCCTCAAATAATTGAGCAAGCATGGCTTTAAGGTCATTTTCCTGTGCTTCTGATGAATTGGAGTATCCATCGATTTTGGGGTTTGCTGGTGAAGTCATGATGTCCTGATTTATGTGGGAAGTGTTCTTTCGCCTACCGTTGGCAATTGGCTTATCTGAGACCTTCCCTGTTTGTTTTTGGATTCTGCCGATCAGACTGGTACTGTCTCTCTCTCGAGTCTGGAGAATTCTTCAGGAAGTTGAGAGAGGTCCTGTGTCCTTACTGTGTGCTGAGGACTAGCTGTACCTGTGGGAGGAAAGTACACAGGCGCAAACAGAGGCAAATGCAAGCGTGCGTGCGTGTGCGTGTGTGTGTGTGTAAGTGGGCGTGGGCGTGCGTCTCGAGGGACAGAGTGATGGCTAATGTTGAACCCTTGAGTGTGTGGGAGGGGCTCTGCAATGTATATGTCGCAGGCGCTAGTGATGATCGCAATGCAATTTCTGGCATTAACTGCCTTAACTCCTCAATTAGACCCACAGAGCAGGAACTTCAATGTCCCAAGTGCCCCTCTGTTTCCCAAAGTGGGTATATGGGTGGGAGGGGGTTCGATGCCTGGCTTCTGTTTTAGAAGGACCCAGGATCAGGGGAGCTGCAGATTCTCAAGGGTGCACTCACTTACAGGCAGGTCACTTGGCAGAGATCGGGGTATCTGGGCTCTCTGCTCTCTGGTTTGGCCCTGCTTCTTTGATGTGCTCCGCCAGCTCCGTGCTGCTGTCACTGCCAGGTTATGAGGTCTTGCTGCAGCTGGAGATTTCAGGGTGGTCACGTCAGTAGGAATTGAGGTAACCAGACTTTCTGTTCTCTGGTTTGGCCCTGGTTAGTCTTAAACTGGAGGGCTGATGTGCCCGGCCAGCTCAGTGCTGCTCCGCCGCCAGGTTAGAAAGTCCCGCTGTAACTGGAGATTGGGTTGCTAGTCCAGATGCTTTCTGGGAAGTCCTGGGGTCTCTTCACTGTGCTCTCCAAGCTTCGGAGGCCCAGCGCCTGGTGTGTCTAGCTTGTATGGCGTTTCTGTCTGGTTTTGGTGAGTATATAGCGTATTCTCTGTCACTGTGGGATTGGGCAGGCCGTACCGTCAGTGATAGCGCTCCTGCGGAGCTAGTATGGCGTCTAGCAGACTCACGCACTGGGAGGATGGTGCAGCCGCCACGCGAATCTGGGGCTCCGAGACACAGTACTGCTGGCTTTTGCCGATAAAGGGCTTGGGGCTCCGCCTCAGTGGCTACAGATCCCAGGCAGTTAGGTCTGCGCTGAGAAAGGTGAGTTTGCTGTGCTGAGGAGGAGGGAGGTCTGGGGGAGGGGAGTGCGGAGAGATCAAAGGATCATTTCTCACCTTCCCCAAACAAGTCCCTGGGTGACCCCAGACCAAGGTTTTCACCTCCTGCGATGTTCCCTGTTGTTTAGAAAGTCTCTCCGTTGTTTCCCTGGCTTCAGAAGTTCTTCCACTCATCAACTCAGAACTTTATCTCTTCCACAGCTCGGAAACTGTGTGTGCTAGTCGCCATCTTGGCTCCGCCCCGAAAAGATCATTCTTAGTGAAGTATCCCAGAAGGAGAAAGACAAGTATGGTATATACTCACTTATATAGACCTACAAGATATGATAAACATGATGAAATCTATACACCTAAAGAAGATAAACAAGAAAGCAGACATAGGGTAAGATGATCAATCCTCACTTAGAAAGATAAATGGGATGTTCATTGGACATATGACAGGAGTCTACCGCAGAAGGCATCTGAAAGACTCTACCTAGCAGTGTTTCAAAACAGATACTAAGACTCATATCCAAACCTTCCGCAGAAGGGGAGTTAGTATGATGTGGAAAGAATTGGAGCTCCACAAGAACCAAATATATCTGGGCACAAAGGTCTTTTCTGAGACTGACATTCCACCAAGGAACATGTATGAATATAACCTAGGACCTTTGCTCGGATGAAGCTCATGGTAGCTAAGTAACCAGTTGGTTTCACATAGTAAGGGGAACAGGTACTATTTCTGACAGAACTCAATGGCGGGCTCTTTGACCTCCCCCACCGCAAGGGAGGAGCAGTCCTGCTAGGCCACAGAGGAGGACTTTGCAGCCAGTCCTGAAGATACCTGATAAAACAGGGTCAGATGAAAGGGGAAGACGTCCTCCCCAATAAGTGGACTTGGAAAGGGGCAGGGAGGAGATGAAGGAGGGAAGGTGGGATTGGGAGGGAATAAGGGAGCGGGATACATCTGGGATACAGAGTTAATAAAATGTAACTAATAAAAATAAATAAATATAAAAAAAGAAAGAAAAAAAAGAAAAAGATTTTTCAGAGCAGTATTAAAAAGCAAAATCTAATTCAATGCAAGAAATGTAACTAAAAATGATCTTGAAAGTAAAAGATTTAAAAGTAAGTAAAAATGAAAGCAGAATTCTCTTAACCACATATAAGGCGGATTCAGTTAAGACTGAGTGAGTCACAGGATGACATTTTCTATCAACAATACTTATAAAGCACAGAGATGAAACATTCATTATCATGTGCCAAGTACCATGGTAGCAACTCTCAGGCAGACAAAACTGTATAGGACTGAAGGAGTCAGCACCCTACTAGTAAGAGGAAATGTGCATGCTCTGCACAGATCACATGGAAAATATACATGTACATATACATACATACAACTATATCAGTGAATTTATATGGTGAACCCAATCTGTACCCTTATAGAAAACATATCCTAAGTCAGAAAGCAGTTCTTGAAAAAAAATTTAAATAATACATTTACTAAACATTTTATGACCACAACCAATAAAACATTAATGTGAACAAAAGAAACCCTGCTATAAAACTATGTCTCAGAGGAAAAATAATTATAGTATAGCTATAAAAATAACTATATGAATAATGAGTAATCAAACACCAAACTTCTTCATGAAGTACAATTGAAACTATACTTCAACTCTAACAGCTTTCCTAGCCAAATAAATTCAAGCACAGTCTTGCATCCCTCAGATATGAGCTGTTTGTGCACATTCTAGTGAAAGGGAAAAATCTTCCATTTTAGTGTATGAAGTGTTTAAATATAAATGTACAATTACATTTTCTCTTGCAAAAGTGAAAAGGCCAAATCTAATTTAATCACAAAAATTTCCCAGAAAAACATACATCTAGTTTGTTAAATGAAAGCACAGAAATGAAATTGGTAAAATACAGACTAAGAAAATTTCAGAAAACTCAGTCTCTGCAGTAAGTTACAAGAAGAACAAGAACAAGAACAAGAAGAACAAGAAGCAACACACCAGAGGAACTGCATTACAAATCAATTGAAAGACACTTAAATTAACAACAAATACATGAGTGTTAAATTGGATCCAGATCCAATCAAATAAAAGTATAAAATGAGAATAATCTATATTTGAAAATATCAAGAAACAATTACATGTTTGAATATAATAATGGTATTGTCTATGGCAAAAGGGAAAATAATCTATATCTATAGAGAGGCATGATAAAATCTGTATAGAAGAAATACAGCACAATGTCTGAAGTTTGTTCCAAAACATGGAGAAGATAAGAAAAAAAAATGTATGAAGACAGATAAGAAGAATGGCCATGGGTTCTTACTGTCTAAGGCTGAGTGATCAAAACTTAGATTTACTATTTTGCTTACATTTGTATACATAAAAAAACTCTGAAAATGAAAGATTAAAATGAAACACTAATAAAAGAATAAAATAAAAAAATGTTTCATTTAGAAACAACAAAGTATATGCAGAGATTAAGCCATCTCATAAGAGATTAAAAATCAAATTTTACTGACACGCAAACTCCAAATGCTTATACACTATCAGGATATACAGAACATATGTTTACTTTTTAAAAACAATCTCTGAACATAATTCAGTTAGGAGCAGAGAGCTGTAAGGAAAAAAATTGATTAAGAAATACAGTCAGAAGTCTAAGAGTCAAAATACTAAGGATACAAGAAAAAGTTACAGTCAGTGCACATAACTTCACACATGAACACTGAGTCACAGGAAACCTGAGTTAGGTACTAATGTCACAACATTGTCTTGGTAAATTCTAAAATTAAATATCTCCCTTTAAATCTAAATAAAGCCCTCTTTATTAATCTAAACATTAACTTATTTATTTAAAAAGTCACCAATACATTTCTTAATCATAGAGGCCCAAATATACATCTCAAAGAGAAAGAAATGAACTATGAGCAATCGATGGCTTATTGAGTAAATACTGCTATAGGATGTAACCAAAAGGACAGAGAAGGGAAGAAGAAAGATCACAAAAGCACAAACTGTTGGCTTTCAAAGTAAACCACACCTTACCCAATAACATCAACCACATTCCAGAGTTCATGGTCAAGCAGCAGAGAAGAAGAAATAGGCTCCCAGAGATTATCGCTTGCTATGATTTTCACTCTCTGGAGACCTTGATAATCCAGTACTTTTCTTAATTCCTTTGGAGACATAAACAGAACAAAGCAGGGGTTACAAGTGGGCCTTAGTTACTGAAATATGACCAAAAAAGCCAGAGTATCATTCAAAAATACTGCATTCTGATGATAGTTTGAGCACTGCTTCTCAACAGGAGTGAGTTTCTGGTATAACACTGTAGAGGCATCTTCCTCCCGAGTTTAAAACTAAGTTAAAAAATAGAAATTACAGGGTTGGAGGGGATGGATGCACATAAAATTTATCAAATAGTATTACATAAAATAATATTTTTTCTTTTTCTTGGTATGTTTTCTCCCTCAAGTTTTTTAATGTAGATATAATGATAAAAGTGAAACATTATCTGTACTACTCGGTAAAAATACTCCAATGTTATATTTTAAGTATTTTTCGGTATCTTTAAAATTTTTACTATTATCTTTAAAAAAATTTTACCATTATTGAAAATGTAACAATTCATACATTTTACATACCATATTTACTATAAGTACAAACTATTCATTTTTGCTTTCCTGTCTCTCGTGCTTATAAAAGGACAGAAAATAATATATATTTGCAGGGCCATCTGCTTACAAATCCTAAAGGAAGACACAACATTCTATCAGGAAAACAAATACTCAACAGGACACCAAAATGTACATATTGTCTGTACAGAAACAGGGACAGAGAAAAGGACACGAATTTATCCAGGATCAGAAGGAGCAGATTTAATACCAAAGATGTTTCTTGATTAAATTGATAAAATCAGCCCCGCTGATTTTATCCTGCCAACACTGGACAGTCTCTGACATAAGCATCAGGTGTTCAATGACAGTTGGACCAAATAACCTAAGGAAAGGTGAAAATTTTCACCAGCTCTTTATTATTGTGATTTTTCTCACTTATGAAATTTCCAATGAATGTATTTTTTATGGAAGCAAATAATTAATTCTCTAATTAAATCATGGTGTACTTTACAATATTTTTAAACTCATGTTATTACACACTACACTAGGTAAGAAAATGTAGTAAGAGTTAAGAGTGGCAAGTTGAATCCATCTTTCAAAGACTCTCACTGAGCCCAAAAGGTCAGTAGTAAGTTGAAGAATCTCTTACCCTATATTAGCAAACCAATTTTTTGTTTCAGTACTCAAGTTTTTATTATTCTTACAGAAAGGAAAAAGTCAATTTTACATTCATTTATCACTGTCAATACCTCTAGTCTTTATGGACTTACTCCTAAACAATCATCAGGAATTTTGTGTATATTTTTACCTGCAGTGTAATTGAAGAGCTTTTAAATGCACATAATCTGTAACCTGTGATTTATAAATCAGTTGCTTTCTCACGGTCAGTATGATTACTGACCGTATGCACTCTGTGCAAAGTTTTCTCATATCTCAAATGTTATCTTTATTTTTTTATTTTTAATTTTATTTATTTATTTGTTTGTTCGTCTTGGTTTATTCAGGGCAGGGTTTTTCTGTGTAGACCTGGCTGTCCTAGAGATCAGCTCTGTAGACCAGGCCAGCCTTGAACTCAAAGAGGTCTTGGCTGCCTCCCAAGTGCTGGGATTAGAGGCATGTGTCACCAGTGCCTGACAAATGTTAGCCTTATTGAATAGTCCTTCCCTCCCAAAAGCCACATGTATTTATCTATTCACAGATAAAGAAGGGAACATGGTCTGAAAGGCCCAGACACTCACACATTCACATCTGTCTACTCTCAGAGAGGAAAAGGGAGTTTAAAGACAGCATAATTACAAACTACCATGAAAACAGAGTCAATCACAAATACAACTTTACATAGCAAAAATAACCTTAAAATAAGTTAGACACTGACAGAGCACATAAAGAGCTTGTATTATAAATCTTTCAGTCTTAAGATCAAACCCTTCCTCTCTCCAGAAGTCATCCCACCACACAGTAGGGACTATGTATTCGTTAAGGTCCCAGGAACTGAGTACCTCCCTATACCTGTCATGCTGTAATTCAGCAGTAAAGAGTTTCAACAGATCACAGAATCCAATAAAACTCCTGCTCTAAAAATGGAAGACACAAAGTTAATTCTTTTATATCCTGGGACTTTTAGTATAGGAAAACACAAGGTCAGAAGAAAAATAAATGAAGTTTGACTACTCAAAAGCAGTAAATTCTAGAGCAGTAATCAAATCACTAACTTAAAAGAAAATGGAAACCAAATGTAAATAATTCTACTGTTCCCCAAAATGAATCAAACACAATCATTACGGGTACCACTACACTGCACATGCACTAACTTTGGCTTCTGTTCCTGCCTCTTTCTAGCTCATACAGCACGTGACCTTCCACTAACAATCCTGTACGTCTCTTTTCTAAGAGACCCACTAGGCCATCTCCCAAATACAACCTGTGTGAACAAGAACTCCTAGGAAGAAACAGTAGACTTATCAAAATGTCATTGATGGGGCTAGAAAGTGGCGTGTCCAGAGCCTAAGTATACATTTAGCCCTTAACATGGCATGACTAATAGATAAAGCATCCAGGGTATTGTTTTGAGAGGATTCATTGTAGCCTGAGATGACTCACTCTCAGTGCCAGGCTGCAGGCATGAAGTAGGGTGAATGAGAAAAGGATGATACCAATGGAGTAGCAAAGGCTAAGAGGTAGTTTATTATGGAGATAAATACAAGTGACCATGGTCTAGAAACACAGATTTATCTTACTCCAAATTTCACATTCCAATGTGGAAGCATTTTTACAAAATCTTATAGAAAAGAACAAAGTCATAAATCAAGACACTTCTCATATATATTAGTGGAAACATTAAATAGGTGGTTACAACAGGCAGGAAGATTAGCTGTCAGCCTCAGATGTGGCCTGAAAATACTCTGGGCCTTTTGAATGGAAGAAAACAGGGTTCCGTTAAGTCACACATCTGCAGATGTTTTATCTGTTAGTCATGAGATGTCCTTCTAACTACAGATTTGTTAAAATGTGACATCACTCCAGTGACCACAGTGGCCTCCTATTTGGGCCCAGTCCCCCTCTTGCTGCTCTTTTGTCTGCTCCACCTTTTTATGAGTGCTTCACCTTTCAGCTCTGACTTCCTTCATTACCATGTACCTGCCTTGGTAACCTGAGAAGTTTCTAGCCATGTTCTTGAGGATTACAACCACACATTTCTTACTTTGAGGGGACATAAACAAGAGTTCATATCATCACATTCCAAACATAATCGCAATGCCTGACTTAGTGTGTGTTGAACAAATATCTGATTTGTTGACTGAGCAAGCCAAGGAATTTCATTGGGAATTATCTGACTTAAAAGCATATACATTCGATTTAAAGAAAACCTGTAAAAATTTGAAAGAAATGTAATCACAAAATATTTCTTGGAGGAAAATGTCATAAGACAAGACAAATAGAGATAAAAAGTAAACTAGTGAACAGCTAAATCTAAAAATAAAACTGCTGCGTTTTTCCAATGATAGGAATCAAATATTTCAGTTCTCTGTTTCCTGAAACTAATGATAACAGCAACCACCTCAGGCGAGAGTATTAAAGAGGTAGTAAAGTGGTCCAAGATAAGATTTCCAAATACTGCATACTACCTCTTCAGTGATTTCAAATAGAACTATGCTATACTCTGACCTAGCTAGCTCTAACTATCAAGTGGAGTCACATAAGAAGCAAGTCTCATCTGAGGGATTGCCCAGATCAGACTGCTCTGTGGTCATGTCTGTGGGAATTGCCTTGACTGCTATTATGGAAAGGCCCAGCCACTGTGAGCAGCACCATCCCGGCACAGTGGTCATGGGATAGCTGTATGTGAAAGCTAGCCAAGCATGAACCGGAGAGAGTGCCAGCAAACAGCATTTCTCCATGGTTTTTGCTCCAGGCTCCTTAAGTTCCTATCCTATTTGGCATTTGACACAGTAATGGACTAACTTGGAAATGTAAAACAAATACATCCTCTCCTTCCCAAAGTTGCTTTTGGTCAGAGTATTCTATCACAGCTAAAAATGTAGCTAGAACACACTCCAGCAATATCATGAATATTTCAAAGAAATTCAGAAAGATGACAGAGTCTTCAAATCTAAAATAATAATTGTTTCAATACTGTTTACTAGAATTCTAAAACTAATATATTATACACTCACACATCTATTTATATGTATGTTTGTCTGTTGAGATCAGGTCTCTCTACATAGCCCTGATTGTCCTGAACCTCCCTGTGTAGACAGGCTGGGCTCAAAACCATAGAGAGCTGCCTTTGCCTCCCAAGTAACAGGATTAAAGCACTACTGTAGCACTACGGTGCTAAAGATAGAAGTAGAGTTTCATATAAGCAGGATTCCATTGCAAGCCACAGCCCCATCCCACGAAAGAATATGTAATCCAACTCCAGACGCAGGCCATTTAGGGCCCAGGAAAAATTACATTCTTCAATATCAGGAATACAGACATTACAAATTTAGTTTTAGGTCATATCTAGCAAATAAACTATGCTGTCAAAATATGTTTCTAACCTGACTCTCCTCCAATTTTCTGTACATGAAAGTATAAGCAAAAGGAGATTAAAGTTTTACAGACCTTTATATAGTTGGCATCAAATGGCCTTTCATTCCAAATCTGCAAAATAAAAATTCAAAATGTCTGAATTGTAAGTTTTCAAATATCAGAAAATAAACACAATCATTAAAGATCCACTTCTCATATCATTTTTCATTATATCTGATGAGCTAGTTTCCTACCTTTCAAAAACTATCATAGAACTTATATTTTTATAAAACAAAACAATTTGTAAAAATTCAAAGTTTTAAAAAAATATTTAAAGACTATTTAGAAACTATTTTACCAGAAGTCATTTATGGTTGAGCATCTTTCAGATATATGCTCAGAAGTGCTATTTTAGCTCAGCTATGTTCATAGTAGCTTTGTTCATAATAGCTGGAATCTGGAAACAACCTATATGTCCCCCAACCAAAGAATGGATACAGAAATTGTGGTACATTTACACAACGGAATACTACTCTATTAAAAACAAGGAAATCATTAAATTTGCAGGCAAATGGATGGAACTAGAAAAGCTCATCCTGAGTGAGGTATCCCAGAAGAAGAGAGACACTCATGGTATATACTCACTTATAAATGGATATTAGCCATATTATAAAACATACTAAAATCTACAGACCTAACGAAGCTAAATAACAAAGAGGATACTAGGGAAGATGCTTAATTCTCATCCAGAAGGCAAAGCAGGATAGACACTGGAAGCAGTAGAAGAGAGGGAGAAGGACTGGAGCCTAGAACAGATGTCCTCTAAAAGACTCCAACCAGCCAGGGATTGAAGCAGATGCAGAGACTCACAACCAAACTTTCGATAAAATGCAGGGATTCTTATGGAAGATGGGGGATATAAAAGGACCTGGAGGGGACAGGAGCCACACAAGAAGAGACTGATGTATCAAGCAAAAACCATAAAGAGAGGACATAGACCCTCTGCTCAGATGTAGCCCAGATAGCTCAGTGTCCATGTGGGTTCCCTAGTAAGAGGAGAAGAGACTGTTTCTGACATGAACTCAGTTGCCTGCTCCTTGACCACTTCTCCCTGGTGGGGAAACTTCGCCAGCTCACAGAGAAAGAGGATTCAGACATCCCTGATGGGACCTGATAGGCTATGATCAGACAGTAGGGGAGAAGGACTTCCCCTATCAGTGGACTAGGGAAGAGGGATAGGAGAGGGAGGAAGGGAGGATGGGAACAGTAGGAGGTGAGGAAGGGAGCTACAGTTGGGATACAATGTGAAAAAATGTAAATAATAATAATAATAGTAGATAATAGATAAAAAGAAGTCATTTATGGCACTGGAGAGCTCAATTTAAGAGCGCATGGTATACAGACATACCCACAGCCAAACACTCATATAAGTAAAGCCATTTTTTTTTCAAAATAAATCATTTATTCCAGAGATTTCCAAAATTAGAATAGGCATTCATGCAAAAAAATATTATAAGTGTAATGTATACAACGACTACATTGGGTATTGGAGAACTACCAGGTGTGAGAACCATTGAAATAATTTTAATATATAGACATAGTAAAAAGAGAATTATTCACCAGAGCATGGTCTAGAAGGAATTTTTTAACATGTAGAAATATAATGCAAGAACACAAGAGCAGGCTCTCAGTGAGGGTCAAAGAAGACACACTCTGCTCTCTGAGGTTCAGAATCACGAGGGTGAGGTTTCAGTATTCTGTAAAATCTGAGCCTTTAGTCCTATAGAAAGGAAAACTGTCACAGTGATGAGCCTAGAGTCTAGGTGTGATAAAGAACTGATTAAAGAAGTGCCTTACCATTGCATGTGATTATTAGAGACTAAAACAAGACACAGTTCATCATTACTCATGGGAAATATTTTATAAACATGTATTTATCAGAAAACTAAGAAATCCATCTGCATTTGATCACACTAATAGCTTAAATATATCAACTTTTTCTTTTAATTTCCCAGATACAAACTGTCAGTTGTAATTTGGAAAAGGAGAGCAAAGCAAGTATGCTCTTGACTCTGCCTTCTTGTGGTCATGGCTCATCCTCACACCTCAACCATCTTATAGGATTGTGGATCTGCAGCACTGTCCGTCTCTCACTGACAAAAACTCATTAATCTTGATGCTGCTGGAACATTACAGCCACTATTCTACCACACATTAGGAACCCTAGCCTATCAGGTCTCATCAGGAGTGGCTGCATTAACTTCCTCTGTGGCCTGGTAAGGCTGCTCCCCGCTCAGGGGGAGGTGATCAAAGAGCCAGCCACTGAGTTCATGTCAGAGATAGCCCTTGTTTCCCTTACTAGGAAACCCACTTGGAGACTGAGCTGCCATGGGCTATATCTGTATAGGGGTTCTAGGTTATCTCCATGCATGGTCCTTGGTTGGAGTATCAGTCTCAGAAAAGACCCCTGGGCCCAGATTTTTTAGTTCTGTTGCTCTCTGCTCTCCTTGTGGAGTTCCTGTCCCCTCCAGGTCTTTCTATCTCCCCTTCTTTACTAAGATTCTCTACCTAAAATTTGGCTGCATCTCAGCATATGCTTTGATACCCTGCTGGGTGGAGTCTTTCAGAGGCCCTCTGTGGCAGGCTCCTGTCCTGTTCCTTGTTTTCTCCCTCTTCTGATGTCCATCTCATTTGCCTTTCTGTGTGAGGATTGAGCATCTTACCGAGGGTCTTCCTTCTTGCTTAGCTTCCTTAGGTGTACAAATTTTAGTACATTTATCCTATATTATAGTCTAGTATCCACTTAAAAATGAGTATATACCATGTGTGTCTTTCTGCTTCTGGGATACCTCACTCAGAATGACCTTTTCTAATTCCCACCATTTGACTACTAATTTCATGATTTTCTTGTTTTTAATTGCTGGGTAGTATTTCCGCTTTTTAAAACATTAAATGATGCTATATAGCAATTTAGGACAGGAGGCAGATTTTCAGCAGCCTGCAAAACCTTGCCCACCACCTATATTTTCCATGTCTGAGAGTGAAAACCAGTTTTCAGTTTGAAACGGTTATACTATAAATGGTTATGAGTCTTAATATTGCCAGTGACCTACTAATGTCAACTTAATATTTATGCACCAGCTCTTTATTAAAAAAAAAATCAGGAGGGGCCAAGATGGCTGCACCGGGAGAACACCGTGACTGAGAAGCGGGACAACATACTCCGTGCAACGACCAGGAGACTGAACTCTGGGCCCTAAAACAACAGCGATCGATCCTGTTTCCCAGGTGAGGGGAGGCTCCCACGGCGTGGGAATCGGTCGGGTCCACTCTCGGCTGCCCAGCCGGAACCCGGAAGAGAACCCGGCAACGCGGGCTTTGGGTCTCCGGGCTGGTGCCGCAAGCCTGCTTGTCACGATCAATTTCCCAGGCTGATTGGTGGGCACAAGGGGGCCTAAGGCTGGGAGTCCCAGTCGCAAAAAAACCCCACGGGGAAGGAAAGTTGCCAGACTGCTCACGGGTCACCCAGTCATTCCCTGGAAGGTCTCTCCGACCACGGGTACCTGCCGCCATCACAATTGAGCTCCCGCGCCGCGCACTGATTGCAGCTGCGCACTCAGCTCAAAATCCCTACTCCCTCTTCGGAGGAGGCAGGAGGTGTCCAGCAGAATCTGCCACAGACCACATTGTCTGTACCCCAACCCGAGATCGGGGCTGAGAAAACCCAATCGTTTCGAGCACTCCCCCAAATGCCACCATCACCCTGCCGCGACAGAGCAGAAGGATAAAGAGGCGCACAGCGGCTTCACAGTGCCTGAACTCCAGTGCTGCCGGCCGCTCCTAGCAAACAAACTACAGCTCGGGATCTGGGACTGTGGTCATTCTACACGTCCTGAGATTCTCCTGGGTCCAGCGCAATAAGGTCTAGCAGCAAATTCTATCACCGGCGCCCCCCCACCCTGGGGCAGAGAAACGCCGCCGGCTCAGGGCTCAGGGCTCAGGATCCGACTGAGAAGCCCCAACCCCTGCTGGCACTCCCCTGAGAGCACCTCCATAAGCTTGCCCTAGCAGAGGGGAAGGTCAGAGGGGAAGGACAGAGAGGCAGCCTGCCAAGGACACAGCACCCTCCCTCCAGCGGCCCCTAGCAGAGAAACCCAAGCTCTGGATCTGAGGACACTCAACCCTACCTGGTACTCTCTTGGGATCAGCAAACATAGATCCTACTGCTAGGCTGCTTCTGGCAGAGAGATCTGGGCCCGGGATCTGGGATTGAGTACACTCAACCTAACTCTTTCCCGCGCCACCCAGGGACCAGTCAACATAACCCCTCCTGGCAGAAGGAAAGGACAAAGAGGCAGCACACAGGAAAGGTGGACACCAAGTCCTGCGGCCACAGTGTCACAGAATTGAATGTTAGCCTACCCGTGCACTTCCGCAGCAGGACCAAAACAGAGAGTAGTGAGCAAGGGGAACCCCTGTGCATTCCAACTGATCCTGCAAGAGAGTGAGTGAGCCTTCTAGGGAGAGAATGCCCCAGACCCAGGGCCTCGCCACAGAAGCAACCAGACGAGATCCCTGCCACCCACACTCCTAGTGTGGGCATCAGAGGGATTCTTGGGATAGCGATCCCAACATTGAAGCCTCTGCCTTGCGGGTCCATCAGGGTAATACAGGCAAACAATCCCTGGATCTCAGTCAGAATTGCGTAATAGTGGCTTGCAGGCCACTGCAATAGTCAGAGAATTCGCGCATGCACACTGCACCTGCTAAAAGTGCACTCGAATAGCGCCAGCGTCACATTCTTTACTTAGGCAAAACAGAAAACACAGTGCACACTCCCAAAGCAGTGAACCTCTCTCATCTTCCTGAAAAAACAGTCCAGAAAACAGAAAGAGAGGATCATAGCCCAAACTACAATCTCGAGGAACAACCAGTGACGATTATAAATAACCAGATGGCTAGAGGCAGACGTAAGAACACTCCCAACAAAAATCAGGACATAATGACCTCACCAGCAACCCCACAAAACAATGGACACTTCAATTCACTAGATATACAAGAAAACGACCTCAAAACTATGTTTCTCCAGCTATTAGAGGCCCATAGAGATGAAATGAACAAAGCCCTCAGAG